GCGTCGGGTTTTCGCCGACGTGACGTCGCTGTGACGCGCTCGCACGCGCGCACGCGTTACGTCGGAGTATAACAGAGCCTTTATACTCCGACGTAACGCGCGCGCAGGCGAACGCTGGCCGAAGTCGGCTACGTCACGTCGGTCACGCCGCACGCGTCAAAAATTCGACCTCTCTATACTCCGGCGACCCTGGCGACTCCCGCGGCGCGCGTCGGTGGGTCGCCAGCGCGGCGCATGCGCAGAGTCTGGCTACGAGGGCGCGCTTCCTGCGAGAGTGCGCCATTTCCGGTTCCTTTTCATTTCGAATAGCAGACGAGAATTCTCGCGCTTCTTGAGCGCCAAGTTCGAGCGATGGCGTGGACGTACCTTGCCCGACGAAAACTCGCGCTTGCACTGTTGGTTAGAGCACTGCACGGGCCGGAATTTCTAGGCCCGGCCCGACCCGGCCTGGTAGAGCCACGGCCCGGGCCCGGCCCGAGCCCGACAGAATTTTAAATTTCTAGGCCCGGCCCGACCCGGCCCGAAAGAGACGCGGCCCGGGCCCGGCCCGAGCCCGACAGAATTGTTAATTTCAAGGCCCCGCCCGACCCGGCCCGATGGCTGTAGCCCGAAACAACCCATTTCCGTTTGAACCCGTCCTGTTTCGACCCGCTCCCGAAACGAGCTCCCCATTTGAACCCGTCCTAATTCGACCCATTCTTTAAACACCCTTCCCATATGAACCCGTCCCGTTTCGACCAGTTCCCTAAACGCCCTTCTCGTTTGAATTTGTCCTGTTTCGATTTATTCCCTAAACGCCCTTCTTATTTGAACCAGCTTCCGAAACACCCTTTGCGTTTGAACGTGTCCCGTTTCAACCTACTTTTATAAGGCCCTGCACATCGCAACCTCTTCGCAAAAAGTCTCCATCGTTCTAAGCCTGGTCTGCGCACCTTTTCTGTTTAAGAATATGTTCTGAAGTAGCTTTACATGTCAACGCGTTCTTAAAATATACAACCCTTTCAGGCAAGCTTAAGTTTAATATATTCCTAGTTAACCCCTTAAAACGTTTGTTTCAAGATGGTTCCCAAAACGTGCAAGCGCGGAACGGACTTTGTACACTGCGCGACACTGATACCGCGAACAGGACGTTGGCTCTTTTTTCGAATTTTACTTCGAAATGGTTTTAGTAGGCACCAAAGTATACCGCTTAGGTCTGTGGCCCAGATGAGCACTTCTAAAGACACTAATATTTTTGAAAACAGCGTTTTGATTCTATGAGATAAGCATAAAAACACGACGATCGCTTGTTCGCGCTAATATAGTGTCGCGCTCTGTGCAATAAGGGAGTCGTAGAATAACGTACTCAAGCACTTTGGGCAAGCTAAAATTAGCATCGCCATAGGTTTTACATCGCAACGCTATTTTTACGGTACCCAAAGCGCTTGCGTATGTTTTTCTAAATCTTCCTAATAGTGAACTAGATATTTTTGAGAGCGATGAATCAGACAGGCTGACAAGCATATGACTGGGACTTTATTTTGTTTACAACTTATAACACAACCCTCGCTCACACGGAAAAAGCTTGAAGGCTTTCTAGCTTCAAGATGCCTTTTAGTTATTATTTTTAACGACGCTGTAGTGAATTTGCACTTCGCTTTTTTTGTATTCAATGAACCTAAAAGATTAATTAGCAAACTTCTTGCTATCAACAACAATTTATGATTTACGGCATAAAATTGCCCAGGCACGGCTCGGGCCGGCCCGGGCCGGCGCGGCCCGAGAACTTTTTTGTTCAAGCCCGAGCCCGGCCCGGGCCCGAGAAAATACGTGCTACCCGGCCCGAGCCCGGCCCGCGGGCCGGGCCGGGCCCGGGCTTTCGGGCTGGCCCGGGCCCGTGCAGTGCTCTACTGTTGGTGCACCGCCTGCGCCGCAAGCGTAGGTGGTAAATGTTTATAACCTACATCTTTGACAAGCGCACGGTCTCGTGTCGTGTCGTGTAGCACGGTCTCGTGTCGTCCTCACCTGTGTTCCTCGTGTCGTAGAAACACAGGTGAGGACGAATTCCCTCGATCAGCTTCTCGACCCCCGACCGAGTCCGATTCTTCGAACATGGCGCCGCACGAAGTGCTCCCGTCGTCTGCTATTGCTCGTATTCGCCGCGCTTCCCGTCCGAGGGCTGCCGGGAGCCAGCGCGTGATGCATCCTGGTCCGGCGTCGCCGGCGCGGCCGGCGCGGAATACGGCATGCTCCATTTTGGCGTCGAGGTGGTCAGGCTGCGCCGAACGCCGCCGGTCGCGTCGGTTACGCCACGACGCCGGAGTATAGAGCGTCGGGTTTTCGCCGACGTGACGTCGCTGTGACGCGCTCGCGCGCGCGCACGCGTTAGGTCGGAGTATAACAGAGCCTTAACAGAGACTTTAGTGAGTATAGTAACAATGCCCCAGCATCGCCTTGACTCTGGTGCCCTCAGAAGTAAAAACAAAATACGTTTAGACTTGTGTCTTTTTTTTTTTTTTTGCGGGGGGGGGGGGGGGGGGGGGGGGGCGGAGTACTTCTCAAGAAATGTAACGAAATACATTTCATTCTGATTGTATCGCGATACAAAGAAACATTCCAAATGTATTTCGATTCAGGAATACAGATACTGGTGAAAAAAATGTATCGCGATACAGAAATACAGATACGAAATGTATTTCTGAAATACTATCGCGATACATTTGTATTGCGATACTGCCCAACCCTGTCTATGAGAAATGTTTCTTCTTAGAGCCGCACCGTGACGCCACCTTTTTTTGCACGCTTTCAATAGTTCCTTGATAAGATATTGGCTAGGTATTCAAGATCAACATGCAGGGTATTTGTTTCTATGACGGCAAATATATATCGGTTAAGTGAAGTAACTTTAAAGCAATGAGCCGGGGGGAGTGAAAAGTAAAATAAGCGTTCTGCTGGAAAACTTCTAGAACAAAGTTTATTACGACGTTTCGAGCGGGGACCGTTCTTCATCAGGTTAAACAACTACAGTTCGAGAGGGTTTGTATACCTAACAACCCACTCTCTCCCCCCATCCACAAAAAGGGAGAGAGAGATCACGTTTAAGCAAGAGCACAACACAGATCGCCGTTTGAAAATAGTACAGCATAAACGCAGGCAGATAAAGTTGTTCAGGGCCGCGAGAAGGCAGTCCCCTTGTCCGATCCTCTGTAGAGGTCGTGGAGGGTAGGCTTACCGCCGTGACCCCCGAAATATCTAAATCCTGTAACTCTCAGGGTTCGCTATAAAAACCTAGGTGCAAAGTCTGCAAGCACATGTCAAAAACCTGGGTGCAAAGTGTGCAAGCAGATGTAAGAAACAACTTGGGCCAGAAGCGCACACTCGAACTTTACATGGAAAAGAAAAGGCAGCCATGACTGCAGCTATGACGTTGTCTACCTGTTCCACTGCGATGTCTGTAGCAGGCAGTACATTGGACAAACGGATCTGGGTTTTAGGTTGCAATTTAATAATCATAAAACGCCCGCTCCACTGTTTCCCCATCTAACACTCTCAAACCACCTAAACCTGCCCGACCACACCATCGACAACATCTATGTTATCATTTAAGAATCCGGTTTTCGCACAACAATTGAAAGAGAACAAAGTTAATAATTTCTTATTTACAAGTTCTGTGCTTTGAATGAGGGCATAAATGAAAGCCCCCGGAGATTATTTAGTGCACGGCTAGCCTCGTCCTGATTGCATACTATTATCCCCTCCGTCCTTCAAACACTTCCGAAACCTGACCTTTACCTCGAAGCGTTAAACATTGTTGATAACTCATTCGTCAGAACCAAAGAATACAACAAAAAAACCTTTAGGGAACGCCCTGAACAGCTCCGTTAAGCAGGCATAGACTGCGTCTTCCTAGGACCTTTTGTTTCGCACAAACACTGCAATCTTCTGATAGTGAATCCTGAGACATAAGGAATTCAAATGTTTCGGGGGTCACGGTGATGAGCATCCCCTTTAGCACCTCCACAGGGGATCTGACAAGAGGACTGCCCCCTCGTGGCCCTGAACAACTTCATCTGTTTGCGTGTGCGCTGTACTACTATTTTCAGACGACGGTCTGTGCTGTATTCTCCCTTAAACGTCTACTCTCTCTCCTTTTTTTGTGGATGTTTTTGTGGATGGGGAGAGAGGGTGGGTTGCTAGGTGTATAAACCCTCTCGAACTGTAATTTATGTCCGCCGGATTCAGTTTTCTAATTCCAGTGTCCTTATATATATATATATATATATATATATATATATATATATATATATATATATATATATATATATATATATATATATATATATATAAGGACACTGGAATTAGAAAACTGAATCCGGCGGACATAAATTACAGTGTAAAATTATCATTGGCAAATTATTTTCCTGATACCTACAAACTTTTTTGAGTATTCGTTTCGACCGGCACATTCCAAACATAAATTTGCAGTCTGTGGTCAATATATGCCATAACAGTTGTTAAGATTAAGACAGCTATCAGTCATTCAATGGCTTTTATCAGAATTAACGCATATTAAAGTTTACTGCAAGGTCATTTTGCTTTGCGCTCTTCTTTGGAGAAGTCGTCCTGTCAAGTTTCCGACATACCGAAACATATAAGAAAGCAGCGCAGAAAGCTGAGCGCCCAAAGAGACGGCAGAGTAGAGAACGCCCAAATTTTCCACGGCCACGTGACCCTCCCACGACCACGTGACTCGCCACCCTCTTCCGCTGCGGAAGCTGACGTCACTTCCGGGTGCGACTTCCGCCGCTCTACAAGTTTGTAATTTAAACCTCACGTTTATTTTCACCAATTAAATGTAAAACAACAAACATTAGTTAATTAATCTACCTGCCATGACGGTTAGCCTTCTATATTGCGTTCCCCAATCCATGTAACTCAGCAGCAGAAATCTCATTTATAGAGTTTTTTTTTATTATTATTTAAAGCCTGTGAAGCTTCAAACACACCCTATATATACTCACCCGCTGACGAGTAGAGCGTCGGAAGCCAATCTGAGATGTGCATCAGCTGGTTGGAGACACGCTTCGTGTTCTTCAGACGACGACTCCATAGAAAAGCTGTGCCCCTAACGCCACCCTCGTATAGGGTAAACTTTCCACCTCTCAGGGGCCAATTGTAGCCTCGATTGGACTTGAATCCCCAGGGCAATGCGCCGTTGTCCGAACAAAAAACGATGATAGTGTCATTTAACATGCCCGCCTTTTGCAAGGTATCGACGACGATACCAATAGATTGATCCAGTGCGTCCACCATACCTTCAAGAAAGAAAATACGCTAATGTTATTAACCGCCCTCTAACAGTTAACGGAAAGATATATACATAGTATTTTCTTTTATTGAGAATTTCTTTTAAGTCCTGAAAGCTACACTATACGCGGTACGTGCAGCATGAGTAATACCCCCAGTGGGGCATAATGTAGGAGTTAAATCGCCATGATAACTATAATAATGAACTAAAATTTGATCATACATTTTTAATTAGTGAAAATAATCATTTGGTTCAGATTATAAACGCTGAGGGTCTTAAAAACATCTATATAAGTAAGTCTCAGAAAGGTTAGGGACAGTTGGGAAGCGCGGATTTTTGCGCCGCCGGCCTTGCGCCCGTTGCACAAGGGGTCACTTCAGCGCACCAACACGGTTCCCACGTGCCCGAATCTTTCTCAAGTTACTTAGGTTTTCGATGACGCTCAGCAGGCTTCCAATTGAAACCATGTCTTTATTTTCACTAATGTAAAAGTTAATTAACAAGTTCGAGTTCATTATCTGACCTGCTGTGGCAATTGGTCTCCTATATATGTCCCTCTGGCCACATAACTCACCTGCAGAAGCCGGATTATAGTAGTTTTCACGGCAATTTTTATAATAAATTTGTAAGAAAACAAAAGCTGTATACATTTTTAGGTATTATTAGACAGAAGTCATTTTAGTAGTCTTTTCGAGGTCTGTAAACCGGTCTGTAAACAAGAAATAGTAAAAGTATGCAGATGAATTAAACATAGTACACAATTTAGAATGAAGGTTAGAAAGTCACCAAAAGAGAACATTTAGCCAAATCGGTAATGTCTTTCACATTTAATCAGTATTCGGTTCATTCATCTGCACATTTCATACTTCATAGTTCCTTGCACTTGATAAAAAGGAAGAGAGGAAGCATGGAGGGCGTGCGAGTTCCGAGGAAAGACGGGGGCCCACAGACAGGTGTGCCCGCAGAACTGACCCATCATATCTCTAAAATAATAAACCGGTAAATATAAAACATACGGTTCAGTCAGGCAAGGAAACAACCACACATATCTTTCGATTTTATCCTGCATTTGAAGATTAAACAGGCGGCGCAGCGATTTTTGTAATTTGTGTAAACGTGAAATAAATGCCTGGAATATATAACCTATAAAAAACACACGTCGGATGTTTCTCCTCGTGCAACATATCCGTCTAATATATAAACTTTCCTCACTCCGTATCGACGACCTAACCCTATCCTGGATTCGAAACTTCCTTTCCCTCGGACAGCAGGCCACCGCAGCCGGTCATTTCCCTTCTGAGCTTTCTGATGTAACCTCTGGGGTTCCGCAAGGTATTGTCCTTGGCCCCCTTTCTTCCTAACCTACATTAACGGCCTTCCACAGTAACTAACATCGGGTGTGCGTCTATTTGCTGAAGATTGAGTGCTATACAAAGATTGACAATTCTGACGATCATCTGCGTTGTCGAAGCGATGTTAATCAGGTAGAACGATGGTGCTCTAAATGGAAAATGACCCTTAGCACTGCTAAATGCAAACTAGTTTCATTCACCCGTAAAAGATCTAACTCAGACTTCACATATTCACTTAACGATTCGCCCATCGCATGTGTTTCTGTTTACCGGTACCTCGGTGTTCAGCTAGCCTCAAACCTTTCTTAGGTACTCCATATTAACAGGATTACCGCTAATGCATCCCGTACACTAGGTTATTTGAAGCGCAACTTAAAATTTGCACCCCCTCACCTTCGCAAATTATCTGATGAGACATATGTCCGCTCTTCGTTAATGCAGCCGCCATCTGGTCCTCTCCCCAAACCTATCTTATTAATCAAATGGAATCTATTCCAAATCGAGCTGCTTGTTTTATTTCATCACCATACTCACGTTTCGACAGCACATCACTAATAAAACAAAATTATTCGATCTATTTTGTGTAAACGCGCCGTATAATTTCTCTTTTATGCTTAATTCACAGATTATGCTATAGCCCCGTTGGAACTTACTGCTCTCTTCCAGAACTACATAATAAAGAGTCACGAACCTTTAACACTAAGACATTCGAGTGTATTTTTGGGACAACATGAACATTCAACAATTTTGCCTAGCCACGTGTCATTAAACTATGAAACGATCTTTCCAAAGCCATAGTGTCTATTTCTGATCACGAACCATTTCGGTCAGAGATAATTATTATTTTACCATAAATAACAGTGTCAGATACTTTTATCCATTCATTTCTCGTTGGGGAAAGCCGCTCATTCTGTTTTCGACACAATATTAACTGAATATTGTATGTCCGTGTTTACAATATTTCAGAGAATAGTGTATATATGTATGTTTCGTTTCTACGCTTACGTGTTTTGCATAATAACTATGTTTGCATAAAACATAATAACTATGTTTTGCATAATAACTATGTCCGTAATAACTATGTTTTATACCGATACCTTTGATATTGTACTGATGTTAGTATGCAGTGAGGTATGTGCAGTACATTTTTTTATCCAGCTGTATTGCCCCCCCCCCCCCCCCTTTCACGAAATGCCGAAAGGCCTTTAGGTATTTTTAATAAATAAATAAATAAATGAAAGTCGAAAAAGAAATTAAAGAAAGACGAGAAGCGCTCTTTCCCTCAATTTGCAGCCACAACAAGGGTCCACTTGGTCTGGGGCAGATTATATGCCACCATGTGTATCATAGCCATGCGCTGGGGTTGGTTGGCAAACCACAGAACACGCGCTGCGTTCCAAATGTTGTTAGGGTTCGGCTATTGTCGTCATTGCAGCGATTGTATACGGGCCACGTGTCTACCCGAATTCTGGTCGAGCTATGCATTCGCGCGCGCCCAAATGGAGTGCTAAAGCAATGATCGAGACCAATCAATGAGTCGTCTTGAAATATTGTTACTTGGGGACTATAGATCATCACTGGAGGACACTGCGATTCCCAAACTTCGTCATCCAGTTTTGCGAACGAGAGATTTTATTCTTGTAATTACACCACAACAATAAGATTCTTTGCCAAGGGTGTTTCGTGCTAGTACACGCGGGTCCCATCAATGTCAGTAAGCTCATCACCGGTAGAAAACTCTCTAACCGAATATCATTGCATAGCGGTGTTGCGTACCGCTGTTGAATATATCGTCAAGTTCATTATATAGGAAATATATCACAGTGCAAGCGCTGCACCCGTAAAAGAGCGAGTACGCACCGTTTTGGTAGTCTTAATTATGTCATTAAACTGGTACAAAAAGCGACACTAAAGGAAGAGACAACGTAAGAAATTAAAGTCAATACGAACCTGCAAATAAAGTTCTGTTTTTTTCTCCAATATAAGAAACATTTCTCACGCCATGATTTGGAACTTGGAGAAGCGGGCGTCCACCACTTACGTGAGGTGCTTGGTGACTTAAGAACAAGAACATTGGCTGAAAGTGTACAGGACATTTGATGAGCTCAATATAATGCGAATTTCCTGGTTCTCCAAAAGCCAAACAAAAATATGTATTACAAAAAGTCTAACTTTCACTGATTCATCACCTCGAATGAAATGTACAACAGATTATTTCTTATTTCAATAAAAGTGTGTATTATCATAGCATTAATAGCTGGAAAATGTGCACCACCACCCATACATCAGTGTAAGTGCTTTTTTTTAATTAATAAATTGTGTTTATTCTCACCGCTGATTTGTTATGGCGCCGAATTATTTCTACAGTTTTGTTCGTGTAGTAATATGTTGCGTATTCTTTTTCTTCGGCCCAGTAATTTTGGTCACCACATCTAAAATCATGGCCCGTGTGATTGTTCTGGAACAACAAAAATAAATATTTCCGCATGAACAAGTGAGGATCGCTTAAACAGCAGACTAATTAAATAATGCCAGAATGCAGTGTACTTTGCAAATACATGAAATGAGTAGACATACTCCCTTGAAGTTCTGATTGTAATAGTCCAAAGAGGGGTTGTAGAACCCCAAAAAGGTGTCGAACCCCCGTTTTATGGGTACATACTGCCTGTCGTAGTATCCGAGGTGCCACTGCAATAGAAATTAGCGCTACAAAATAGGTTTAGCGGTACATCCTGCTGCTTACAGGAGTCAGTCCTCAAAAAATGTTTTCAAACTTTTGCTTTATATAACTCAATAGTACGAAAACACAATTTGCCTTTGCAGTCAAGGCAAGAGGTCACATTTATTTGCTTAACCTCTGCCCCCCCCCCCCCCCCCCCCCCCCCCAAAAAAAAAAAGAGATCTAGTTTGTTGAAATATTGGTTTCTGTAGTAATAAATCGGCTTCATCTTAACTCCAGAACAACTCTGCGTTATCAGATTTCGATCGGGTAGATTATATTGTTATTTGGCCGAATTAGCAGATCTGCCAAGACATGTCGCAAGTAATCTTAGAGTCTTCTGGATGTTGCACTAGTAGTGTGGGTCATATGGCAGAATTTGTTTTATAACTTTAATAACAATTGGCCTACCTTTCCAACCATGTGGGTTTTATAACCCAGGCACCTGAAGTAATCTGGCATAAGAGTATAGTTGAGCGGCAAAGCCCACGGCTCCGCTGGCTTGATTACTGAATGCTGCATGCCTAGAAAAACGATACATAATTTATGCGAACACACATTGGTGCAAAAACAGAAAAACCATTTGCACATAAGACGAGTCTTACCACACATAATTATATGGGACCTCGAGCTATAGCCTGTTTCACTTTAAGCCTCCTGTACCACGGTGGCCATCTTGAACAATTAAGCCATTAGTTCAACCACTGGACTTCGGCACTCATCCTTGTGGCTAAAAAGCTGTGGCTCGTGCCACTGGTCCCTTTTCCGCTCTCAATTCCCTCCTTTCTGCTGCTCTCCTGTGCATACTCAGAGCGTGCTGTCGCCTCCGTTTTGCCTATTAACGTGAAACGCTCTTTGGCGAGGTGTTCGGCAATTCTTGAAGCCCAAATGTGAAGCCTGGATAAACGCGGGATCGCGAGGCTCGACACCGATTGGTTGACGGTCGGGGAGATGGGTGAGGTGCTCGACGCCGATTGGTCAATGGGGAGGTCAAGTGATTAGAGGGCTAGGTGAGGAGGAGCTCGACCACATGTGCGCGCTGTGGGAGAGAAGCTCGAGAGTGTGGAAAACTCTGGAAGAGCGCCAGGTTCATCTGCTTGATTAGCGGTAGTATCACTTCCTTGTAGGAGCAACTACCAAGTGTACACATGGTACGCATTGCACTAGCTGATGAATATCGCCGTCAGCGTAGGCGTCTGCCGTCTGGGAACTCGGAGTATCGCTATACGTTGTGATTCTGGAACGCTTCGCGTATGTAACACAATTGCCTAGCAATTTTCCATATTTTGTTCAGAACACCTGGTGCCAGCAGTCCCCAACTGGCACAGAAATGGAGCCAGCTCGTCGAGCGAGGATGCCAACCTGCATGGGAAGCATTTGTTTCTTGATATGGGCTTCTAATTCGCGCTACAGGGTCGCGCTTTCACAAGAAAAAACTTTAACGAACAGTAAAAGACATCGTGTCAGGCTTTCTCAGTATTTCGCGAATAACAGGTTTTTGCGCGGCGTAAGGTCGGACGGTTGTCATTCCACAGAATTTGCAAACGGAAGTGCTAGCAATACAACACGAAGCCCACCCAGGAATGACCCGCTTGAAGATGTTGGCATGGTCATATGTGTAGTGGCCGCACTTATATAAAGAGATAAAAAACACCGTTCGTCACTGCAAAAACTGCCATCCTTCCAGCGAAGACTGTGGAACGACTTCAGCCCGGGCCATACCCGACCAAAGTTTGGTAGCGCGTTCATGCTGATTACGCAATGAATAATGGTGTACACATTCTGGCTTTGGTACACGCGTATTCAAAGGGGGTTGAAGTTTTCTGCATGCATGCGACAACGGGCAAGAAAGCCGTGCAAAAACAGAATACATTCTTTGCAGCTTACGGCTACCCTGAAGAGCTAGCGAACGACAATGGACCTCAATTCATCGCAGAAGCCTTTCAACAGTTCCTACGGAACCGTGAGATTAAACACACGAAGACACCTCCATACCAGGCCTCTCCCAGTGGAGCTGCAGAACGTCTTGTAAGGCAACCAAGACATCTTGGGAATAAACAGCGGCAAAGAAACATGGACAAGAGTAAAGGAACAAACACGACAGGACGGCGCTGAACTAACAATTGTTGTTTATTACAAATGCACCAAAAGACACGCAGTGCCGTTTGTGGCCTGTGTGTCTGGCGTGGTCTATAAGATCCCCTTGTCTAGTGGCAAGGTGTACGTTGGACACACGGGCCGCTGCCTAAATGATAGACTTAGGGAGCATTCGTATTCACTCAGGGCTACAGTCGGGGGGTTGCTACCTTTACACTGCAGGGACTGCATGTGCCAGCCTAATATTAGTGAAGCCACTGTTTTGGACAGACATAGAGATAGGGTGACAAGAGAAATTATTCAGGCCTTTTTTATCTCAGAACTTGGCGGGAGATGCGTCACCGAACCGTCAGTGGTGTTATCTCACAAAGAGTTTGGGTACCTGCGATCGACTATAACCGGCATTACGTAGCCACTGATTGGGGCTATCGCGACATAGTATGCTGCTTGGTTTGCACGTTTGTGTGTGTCTATAAATTTTTATCTAATTAAGATGCTTCTTGTTTTTCTCCTTCCAATTTTGTGTAATAAACTACAGTTGTTAGTTCAGCGCCTTCCTGCCGTGTTGGTTCCTTTATTCTTGTCCAAGTTTCTTTGCCGCTGTTTATTCCCAAGATGTTCACCTCAAACCAACTAGCCCAACACGTCACATTGTTGCAAACAAGACCCCGCTCCTCAAACAAGTTCTGAGTGACAACTCTGCGTAGGTGCAGCGTACAATGAAGGAACGCATAAATGACTCCTTGGTGTGGTACAGGAATACTCCGAACTCGGTAATAAGAAGGACACCTGCCAAAATCTTTCTTTGGCGTTGGCCTTGAATAAAGTTGACGCTGCTAAAACAGAACTTCCTTCGTAAAATGGCGGATCGGCAACAAAAAGAGTTGGAGCATCGTAACCAGCGAAAAAATCAGCGGAGGATCAGCATCAGTGGGTGATGCGGTCTATGCGAAGGCAACAAGAGGACACCCAAGCAGCACCAGAAAGTGAATTTCGATCGGCCGACGGTTGGCGAGTGTCTGGACAGCTTGGCCACTTTAAGTGCTTGGCCACCGGAGACATAAACAAGGCCGGCAAGGGTCCGGCCATTAACTAGTTGTTTTTAGCTTGTCCGCCGGAGACATAAACACTGCCGTAAGCGCCTGGCCAAAAGTGCTCATTTTCAGCTTGGCCACCGGAGACATAAACACGGCCGGCAAGTGTTTGGCCAGCAGTGGTGATTTTCAGCTTGGCCGCCGGGGACATAAACACGGCCGGCAAGTGTTTGGCCAGAAGTGCTTATTTTCAGCTTGGCCGCCGGGGACATAAACACGCCCGGCAAGTGTTTGGCCACAGGTGCTGATTTTCAGCTTGGCCACCGGAGGCATAAACACGGCCGGCAAGTGTTTGGCCAGCAGTGCTGATTTTCAGCTTGGCCGCCGGAGACATAAACACGGCCGGCAAGTGTTTGGCCAGCAGTGCTGATTTTCAGCTTGGCCGCCGGAAACATAAACACGGCCGGCGAGTGTTTGGCCAGAAGTGCTGATTCTCAGCTTGGCCGCAGTGGACATAAACATGGTCGACAAGTGTTCGGCCAAAAGTGCTGATTTTCAGTTTCACCGCAGGGACACCCATAATCTAAACTTTCATCGCGTTGACGAAACTTTGGCATAACGACGGGCAGCGAGAGAAGCATCGTGAGCGAGTGGTTGGCAGGATATTAGTGCGTGCATCGCGCGAACATTGTTAGCGCAACCAAACGATCACCGTTTTATTCAGTTTTTTTTTTCGTTAGACTTGAAGGGCTATTGCCTTAACTAGCACTTTCGTGCGATATGTTCATTTGGAACATTACTAGAAGTGGGAAAATATTGTGCCCGTCGTTCTATGAAAATAAAATACGAAAGCAGCGCCGACGTCATCTTCGCGCTAACAATACCGCTCTGTCGCTGCGCGGCACTCTTAGCGCGAATACCACATCCGCGATTTTTCGGTTAGCGCTCCACATATATACTTCCCAACTGCAGTCGAAGAAGAAAAAAGTTGCAGTCGGGTGCATCGGGCGCACATGCTCCCCTTTCCTGGAAGACGCGCACTCCGTTACCCAGCCAGTGTACCTGTATACCGACCATAAGCCCCCTTCTCTACCTTAAAAACCTATAGATGTATCAATGCACTCAGCTTAGTAAACCGCCACGCTAGCCACGCACCCCGATCAGCTTGTGCTTGAATCGGATAAGATTGGATATTTCAGACTTTGTGTTTTGGAAGAGCCTAAACGAGACGTCCCTCATATATTGATTAAACTTAAGCTAGTCTCAGTAATGTTTTAATTAGGTGCTAGGATACTGATTTTCTGATCCAAGGAAAGCTAACAGCTTCGGTTAAAACCACAACGGAAACGTTCAAAATTGAACCACACGTAAAAGAAAAAGAAAATGAACATTTCGACCTAGATGTGCAGGACACTGGCTTTGTTGTTAACAACGTGGTTGTTGGCGGGTGGTGGGCAACGCCGTGACGCTATCGACGCTATCGTGGTGATTGACGCCAGTGATGCTCGGCCGTACTACACGGTAAAAGTTTTTACACCTTTAAGGGTGTAACAGGGGTGTTGTAGCAACTTACACCCTCGGCTACAGCCTTTTAACACCCTAAAAACTAGGAATACAACCTCATATTTTACCGAAAATTTGCTGTTGCGTGTTACACCCTACATTTAGTGAAGAATGTGAGAAGGGTGTAGAGGAGGGTGGTAAATAAATAATGTGAAATGGTTTTGAAAAGCTTATACATGGCTCTGTACATAATGTACAGGTAAGATTTCTGCTTGAAAAGCAACAGTTGTTAGCAGTCTAGTTTCTTATAATGTCAGTTGTAATTCATGCAAATAGCTGATAATAAAGTGCCTCTTTTGCATACAATTTTTATGTTTGCAAACAAAATTTTTATATATGAGTTTATATTTAATTTTCTTACAAATCACTCCATGCTCAGAAATCGGAAAGTAGGGTGAAATGCTATATACTAGCATTTTTTACAAATATTTATTGATGGAAGTGTACAGTAAAAAAATCAGTTAGTCTCGAGTTTATATCTGGCAACATGAAATCAAAATATTGTGAAAATGTTTGACAAATATTCATGACATGCTGCTAGAACCTGTCCCATGACCATGTCAACCCCAGTAAAATATTCATTTGAGAATATGGTGACATGCACAAAAACTCACACACATAAAGAGGCAAATCCCATAATAAACCAGTCCGAGACATCCCATAAAAAATGGCCTATGGTCGTCTATGGGAAATTCAATGGGAGGCTATCACCCCCTGTAGCTTTGCATGGTCGGCCTTAAAAATTTATAGATACAGCTACAGCCAGCTATAGAAAAGTTTAGGGCCTTGTGTCTAAAGTCTCAGGGCTATGTTTCAATAACAACAACAACAACAATAATAATAATAATAATAATCAATAAGTTAGTGTTTTAACAGTGTCCAGGGACATCCAATTGTTCTTCTTGCGGGCGCAGTGCA